GGTGGGAAAGTGCTTTTTTTTTTTCTCACGAAACGGTGCACAAACAATACACACACACACACACACACACACACACACACACACACACACACACACACACACAAAGTGCTCTGAGCTATATTCATTTTTTTAAATATTTTTATTATTTTTATGTGTATGAGTGTAATACCTGTGTGAAGGTGGGTGCACCCCTGTCATGCAATGCCCATAGAGGTCAGAAGAGGGTGTCAGATTCCCTGGAGCTGGAGTTAGAGATGATTGTTAGCCACCATGTGGGTGCTGGGACTCGAACCTGGGTCTTTGTAAGAGCAGTCAGTGTTCTTAATTGCTAAGCCATCTCTCCAGTCCCTCTGAGCTATATTCTAAACAGCTACCTGGGTGGCATAAAGACAGCTCAAAGACATCTGCTTTCCTTCTAGCACCCAGTATCCCACAGTCCCCACCCACCTGCTAAGCTAGATGCTGTATTTCATTCCCTGCCAGGTGCCTGATGCCCATCTCCGTGGTTATGCCTTGTGGCCACAGCATGGTTTGCCACAACTAATACAGCCAGACGGCCCTGGAGTCCAAAACACTGATTTTCTCCTGTATGTGCGGGTTGCCCACACTTTCAAGTGTCACAAGGAGGTGAGGTTCAAAACAAATCCCTTTCCCTGCTCTGCCTCTCAATTTTAAGTCTTGTGAGGGGAAGATAGGAAGACAGCAGTTTTATTAAGTTGTGCTTTAAGGGGGGGAAGTTTGGGGCATGTTGCTAAAGCTTGAACTGAGTAGGGTCTAAGAACTCTCTAGGCCATGTGTAGGCACCACCCCGGCAGAGTTCTGTGGAGCTCCTGGGTCCTCCATTTCCAGGAAGACTCCATCGCTCTGTATTCCTTCACTTCTCACCCTACCTTCTCCTGCCTGTTCGCAGCCCTCTGTCATAGCCTATGCTGCCTGCTGCCAGCTGGACTCAGAAGACAGACCCCTCGCTGGTACCATTGTCTACTGTGCCCAGCATCTCACCAGCCCCAGCCTCAGCCATGGTGACATCGTCATGGTGACTAGGGGAGGGGGGTGGGCAGGTCACTCAGCCTCCAGTGAAGTAAAAGAACCTGCTGAGGAGGGAACAGAAGGTGTCTCCAGCTTTAAGAACAGCTGGTCATGCAGAGGGGCCATAAGGACCTGCTGCAACCCAGCCCCCTCACTCAACAGCCATTTGTCCTTAGGCCACACTGCATGAATTGCTTCATGCTCTGGGTTTTTCTGGACAGCTCTTCAAGAAGTGGCGGGATTGCCCCTCAGGACTAGGTGGTAAGTGGAAGCAGTGAGGGAGAGGGCTTCCTATAACGTCAATCAGCAGGGCTTAACTACCTGTGGCCCTTCTTCCTTCTGTTTCATTCTTTCTCTTCTCACACTGCCTTCTTTCCCTTTCTGTGCCCAGCTAGAGAGAATTGTTCTACAAGGAAACAAGTAACAAGGCGAGATGAGTGGGGCCAGCTGCTTCTTACCACCCCAGCTGTTAGCCACAGCCTGGCCGAACACTTGGGAGTCCCAGGGGGTTCACAGGGTGCTCCTTTGGAAGAGGAGGTGAGACTAACACCTCGGGATGCTGGAAGGCAGGGGAAGCAGCCAACTAATAACCAGCCATTTGCTACCTTATCCAACAGGGCCCTTTGTCTTCCCACTGGGAGTCCAGATTACTCCAGGGTTCTATAATGGCTGCTACCTTTGATGGTGCCCAGCGCACTCGACTTGACCCAATAACTCTTGCTGCGTTCAAAGATTCCGGCTGGTATCAGGTCAACCTCAGTGCTTCAGAAGAGCTGTTGTGGGGCCGGGGTAAGAAATTAAGGGAGATCTGCAGAGCAATACTCATGACCCACGTCAGCTTTGTAGGAGGTGTATTTGCTACTGAGGTATAACTCAAACTCAAACTGTAAGCTTCATCTCTGAGTGCTCTTGCTCTTCCTATCTCACAAGCAGGCTCTGGCCTAGAATTTGGCCTGGTGACCACATGTAGGAATGACTCGTCAGACTTCTTCTGCACTGGCAGGTGTGTATGCTGAGCGGATGAGGGACTACACAACTGAGTGATCACGGAGTCACTTTCCCATCCCTTCCACACAGTGGGCTGGGCTGCCACTACCTGCACCTAGACAAGGGAAGCTGCTCCTCAGACCTGAGGCTAGAAGGCTGCCGCATGTACAGACCCTCTGCCAACGGGGTGAGTGCACGACAGCACAGAGAATGAAGGAGTGGGTCCAGAAGGGGTCAACTTCTATGGCATAAGACAGTCACTATTCCACTTTCTTCCCTTCACTTCAGAGTGAGTGCTGGAAGGAAGAAAACGGACTCTCACCTGGAGCAGAGAATCCCCATGGGGAAATCTACCATCCCCAGAGCCGTTGTTTCCTTGCCAACCTCACTTCCCAAGTCCTCTCTGAAGACAAGACCAGCCATCCCAACCAAATCCTGTATCTCAGGCAAGAAGAGCTCAATGGCCGTTGCTATTTACATCAATGTACACAGGACGGAGCATACGAAGTGAAGGTGGAGGGATCACCTTGGATCTCCTGCCTGCCAGGAAAGGCTATTCAGGTGAGAATCATTAGTGGGACCGTTGTAGCACACAAGCAAGAAGTAGTTAGGAAATGCTTGAACGGTAATACTTAGAGTCTCAAGCTGTAGTCCAGGCTGGCCTGTAAGTAGATACATAGCCCAGGCTAGCCTCAAACTTGTGACAATCCTCGTGCCTTACTTAGCCTCTCGATTACTGAGATTACAGACATGAGTCATTACACCTAATGTTCAACTTGTTTTAAACTTTTTAAAAATTTTATTTATTTTGCAATACTGGGGATCAAGCCCAGGGCCTTGCAACCTACTGAGCTACATCCTCAGACCCCCTAGCCAACCTATTTTGACTTTGCTATATGTCCACTCAGAATATGAGTCTGACCTAGAATGTGCCTCTTCCTTAGGCCTGCGCAGGTCATTGAAGCTGTAACGTATACCCTGCCACGTATTTCCTGCAGGTGCCTGGGTACCACGGTCTCCTCTATTGTCCCCAAGGTCGGCTATGTCAAAGTCATGAAGGCACCCATGCTGTTACTTTTCCATCTGTAAGCTTATCAACCCAAGACCTGCTGTTCCAGCTGTCTTTAGGACATACTGAGATGCCAGCCCGTTTCCTGGGGATGGAACAGAGAGCAGAGCTGGCCGAAGCAATACTGCAGGCTCTGGTGAAGAGAGGTGGCACTGGAAGGTATGGGTACTTAGAGAAAGGCCACAGGGAATGTCTAAGTCCTTTACTACATACTCTGCTCTGCAGACTTTCTGTCCAAGCCATTCCTAAACCCATTTCTTTAGATGTGCTCTTTCAAGAGCTATCCCCTTCACTAAGAGGCCTCGGTGTCCACTTAGGTGCTACTTCCACAGCCCATCAATCACCACTAGTTTGGTGTTCACTGTACAAATGTGGAATTCCCCTGGCTGCCGAGAGCCTTCGGTTGCTATGCTGTACAGGACCCTGACCCTGACTCTTCAGGAGAAGCCCCTGGAAGTACACCATGGAGAAGCCAGCTTTACCATAGAGTATTACAAGTAAGATGGCAGTCCAAATAGTTTTCTTTTGCAATCCCTGGTGTCTAGGTGTTTGAAATCCGTCATTTGCCCCTTGTTCGAGATAGGGTCATGGGTCTCAGAAGATGATGCCTAACATCACCTTGGGCCCATCCAACAGTAATATAGTTCCCCATCCCTAGAACTTAAAGATTCCAGTTTTTTGTTTTTTTTTTTTGAAACTGGGTCTCACATTACACCAGGCTGGCCTCAAGCTCATTATATAGCTGATGACCTTGAACTTCAGATCCTCCTGCCTCTTGAATGCTGGGTCATAGGTGCCCACCACAGCTATTTTCCTTCTTAAGCAGTATCCAGAGATCTAGCTACTAGACCAATCTGACTCTTCCTTTAGTCCTGCAATCAAGCTAGGTCTCCCTTCAGTGACTGAAGTTGCTGGGAAATTTCTACCTTGATCTTATTTCTGTTTCTGAGTTCTGCATTGCCTTCCACTGACTTGTTTACCCAGTGCTTGGATAAAAAGAGTTCTATAAAGCCTAGACATTATTCTAACCAAATAACACCTTCCATGTTTCTAGGCTGCTGACCACCTCGGACCCTAACCCCTCCATGAACCACCTATTTCTGTCCCTGGGACTCTGCCTACTACTGTTAATTCTGATGGGTACACTGGGAACTCTGGCCTATCAGAAACGAGCTACACGTCAGGTGGGCCCATCTACTCCTTACCATCATGATATACAGCTCAAGAGACCTGATTAGAAGAATATGGGAAGTATAATGCTACCCAGAACGTGATATAGGTAGGTTGGAGGATTTAAGACTACTAGATGCTGGCCAGTGAGATAGCCCAGTGAGTAAAGGCACTTGTCTGAGCTTGATCCCCAGGAGGCAAATGGGTGACAGAAAATGACTAACAAGCTGTCCTCTGACTTCCACATGCATGCCCTGGCTCACAAATACCATACACAAATAACTGTGATTAATTTTTTTTTTTTTTTTTTTTTTTTACAAAAAGAGAGACTACTAGAAGGCTGGAGAGATGGCTCAGCAGTTAAGGGCATTTACTGCTCTTGCAGCAGACCTGGGTTCAGTTCCCAGCAGCCACATCAGGCAGCTCATGATTGACTGTAACTCCAGTTCCGTGGGACCTGACACCCTCTTCTGACCTTTGTGGGCAGTAGGCATGCAGTGGTGCACATACATACATGCTTTACCACAGAATTCAGCAAGATGGCAGTCCAAGTAGTTTTCCTGGACTCACATACACATAGAAATAAACAGAATGCCTCCTTTTCAAGATGTCGACTTTAAAATAGCTTTGCAATGAAGAAAAGGTGGAGTCTCGTGGTGAAGATCTATTATTTATTTTGATACAAAAAATAAACTGTTTAACACCTGAAGTGTCACGTATTTCCATAATGTTGTAGAGCAACAGGAGCAGCACAGGAAGACCTGCTACCAGCTCCAAGGGCACCATCGTGCTTTAGTATTTTTACTTATCTAATTTCATTGCTCTGTGGAGTCAGTGTGAAGGGTGAAATAACTGTCTCCCTCTCTCGATATTCCTTAAATTTACTAAATCATCACTGGGAAACCCAGTTGTTGAGACATCACATAATTATGCTAGAGTCTGGTAAAGGTTGGTAAACCAGCCACCTGGGCCAGCGGTACATGAGTTCTAAGACATAGGTCCTTTTTAATTATAGTTTCAAAAGCGATCATTAAATTCTTGAGGTTTAGAAAGTAGGTAAGCCGGGCGTAGTGGTGCATGCTTTTAATCCCAGCACTCGGGAGGCAGAAGCAGGCAGAGCTCTGTGAGTTCAAGGCCAGCCTGGTCTACATAGTGAGTTCCAGGTCAGCTGGGGCTACAGGGAGACCCTGTCTCAAAAAGACCAAAAAAAAAAAAAAAAGAAGAAGAAAGAAAAGATGGCGTATGGTGTGGTGGTTAAGAACATGAGTTTTGGAGACAGGCATGGTGGTGCACGCCTTTAATCCCAGAACTCAGGAGGCAGAGGCAGGTGGATCTCTGTGAGTTCGAGGCCAGCCTGGTCTACATAATGAGCTCCAGGACAGCTGGGGCTACAGGGAGACCCTGTCTTTAAAAAAAAAAAAAAAAGAAGGTAGATGACTGACATGATTTGATTTGTTTAAATGGATCTCATTTATCCTAGGAGTCCAGGTGACATACCACTAATGTTAAAAACAGTGCCTGTGCTTGTCATCAAGTCCAGGCAAATCTTCAGGTGACACATTTGCATGAGTCCTTGCTGCAGTCCCGGCTGTGCTCCATCAGATGTCATTATTTTCTTGATCTGAATGCCTATCAGTCTTTACCAGCTGTAGCAGCCACTGCTTGGTAAAACTTTGCCACAAAGTCTGGCTCACTGACCTCCAGTTGCCTGACAAATTCATTGCGCTCCTCCTCAGCCCAACCTCGAAACCACTGATCCCAGAGACGAAGTTGGCACTCAAAGATACAAGGTGGTCGGTCTGCCTCAGATACATTAAGCTGCTCTAGACCATCTAGCAGTGGCTGCAGCTTTCCTGGCACTGCCTTAGCTACCAGGTCCTGTAGAAAACGTTCACGCTGGGGACCTGACCAACTGGCAAACCAGTGAAGAATACACTTGATCTCCTGGGAAGTAATGTAAGACATTGGAGGAGGGGAACAGCTAGTAATGCTGTCTGGCACTGAGGGTAATGGAGAAGGGAAGGATGATGGCGCTGAAGATGGTTCCAGGGGCATCCTGAAACAAACAAAAAGCACTGTTATACACTCTTCAGATAGAGCAACCAAAACAGAGCCGTCTAGCAACAACAAACCTTACTGTACTAGTGTCTACAGGGCAAATTACTCCTCGCCAATTCAATTTGTAAGAAAGAAGGCTCCTGTTATGGGGAAAGATGGAGATTCACTATGTGTAATCCCAGACTGGCCTAGTTTCTTGCCTTCTGCCTCAGCCTCTTGAATACTGGGATTATAAGTGCACATTGCCATGCCAGGCTTAACAGGATCCTTTATTTTTATTATCATCAAATTACCTCAGGGAAGCCACCCAAGAATAACTCCATATTTGCCACTTTCTTTCTTTTTCAGTGGCACTGACCTAATCCAAGTGGTGGCTCACACCTATAATCCCAGGATCTGAAAGGCTGAGACAGGGGGGTTGCCAAGAATTAAAGACCAGCCAGGACTACACAGGTACATAATTAAGTTCCAGGCCAGTCTCATCTACGGTATGAGATTTTATTTATATTTATTTATATTTATGTATTTATTAATTTATTATTTACAGGATCTCACTATGCAGCCCTGGCTGGCCTGGAACTTGCTATGTAAACCAGGCCTGTCTCTGTCTCCTGAGTGCTGGGCTAAAGGATGTGCCACCATGTCCAGTTCTTTTTCTTTTTTTTTTTCTATCTTTTTGAGACAAGGTCTCCCTGTAACCCCAGCTGGCCTGGAACTCACTATGTAGACCAGGCTAGCCTTGAACTCACAGAGATCCACCTGCCTCTGCCTCCCAAGTGCTGGGATTAAAGGCGTGCACCACCATGCACGGCTTTCTTTTTCAACTTTTATTTACATTTACTTCATGCTGAATTTATTTCCATGCCAGAAGTTTTTATCTCATCAGTTTCTTCTAGGATACTTTTTTCTTCCAAGCAACTTCCTCTTTTGGCTTTGGAACAATGTGTTCCTTTTCAATGGGGATTGTCTTGCTGTGGCAGGAGAGCTCAGGTATAGAATTCAACTGCATGTCGGATGCTCTGTTCACCTGGATAGGCTCAGAGAATCTACAGTCAAGCCCGTATGTTCAGCATTACCCTCTGCATTTTCAAGCCTATGTAGCAAACATTCAGCACTTTTTTTGAGCCACTGACCTTTTATCTAGTCCAACTGTTTCGCATTGGCACACCTACAAATTCTACCATTATGCTGCCTGAACAGTACACATTGCTCCTTTAAAGTGACACTTTTCAGATACCTTTCAGATACCTGGCAGCTTTTCAGGTATGTATAACCATATGGTCTGGGCAGTTTCTTAAAGTGAACACAAAGATCTGAACCTCCTGATCTGCATGATTTGGAGGTAGCGGTTCCTGGGTCAAGAGATAAAACCATTTTCACAGGTCACCTCAAACTCTTAAGAGGGTTGTTTTGTTTTTTGACAGGTGTTGCTACCTAGTTCAAGCCTGCCTCGAATACAAGATCCTCCTGCCTCAGCCTCCCAAGTGTTATAGTAACAGATTACAGGCATGTCAACACACCCAGGGCCTCTCTCCCAATCGTACTATTTTTGCAGTCAGTCTCATGTAGTTCAGGCTGACCTCAAACTCAATTTATAGCTAAGGATGGCCTTGAACTTCTGTTCCTCCTGCCTCTAGCATGTGCCACCACACCTAGTTTCTGCACTTCTAGGGGTCCATCCCAGGGTTTTCTGCATACTAGACAAACACTCAACCAATTAAGCTAATTCCCAGCTGCTCCTATAAAAATAACCAGTTGAGGCCAGCCCAGGCAAGACACATGTTTATCTCTCTCCTACTTTTGTTTCGGGTTGGGTTCAGTTTATCTTCTCTAAAATGAAGGCAGTTTTAAAACTTTCTTACAGGCAACTGATCAGGGCCTAAATGCCAATTGATGCAAGAACCTTTTTCTCTGTATGTAGACTGAAAACTGACAAGAATTGTGTATGTTCTATGATCCCCTTAGTAAATTCTGTGAACCACCAATAAACTTTAGGTGATTCTAGCATCAAATAAGGTAACAGGGTTAGCAAATCAGAAACCAGGCTTTCAAAATTCTGAATAAAGTCCCCCTGCTTTCATGACTTAGGGAGTCTAACAAGTGTTCTATACTGATGCGCAACAATTTGTCTTTGATGAGTTTTCCTTAATGTTTTATATATATTGGTGCCCTGCTAGTTTTGCATCATAAATAAAATTGAAAGGTCGGTCAATTTATTTGAAAAGGTTTCAGTCCTACACTTTGTATCCCCAACGATGAAAACCTTCAACTATTTGTCTATGGCCTACTTTCAAAGTGGCCCTACAGGGGGAAGTTCCGACTCAAAGTGACTTTATTCTCTTATTCAGGGACATTTTTCCAGGTCTTGCTACATGGTTTCCACGCCAAACTCAAATTCAATGTCAAGAATCCATATTCACTGTCTAGGTCCAAAGACACTACCTCTTGCCCACTTTGGAAGCCGCAAGCTTCTTACTACCAGGTCCAGGCAGGGTCAAGGGCTCCTTAGATAGGGTGGCCCGGGTTCAGAAGATGGGGGACCACAGCTGTTTCGACACCGGAGCAGGAGGGCTGCCCAAAAGGCCAAGGAGGACTTCTCCGGCTCTTACCTCCCCGTTCCTCTGAGGGTGCCCAGAGATCACCGAAGGCCTTCAAATCCAACTCTAACTTCCCGAAGTTGCTTCCATGTTTCCTGAAAACCCTAAAGCAGAGCCAGCCCTGCAACCCACGCACTTCCGGTCCCGAACCAGCTCCAAACACCCAAGTGCCCCAGCGCCTCAGCTCCAGGTCCGGAGATAGCCGAGTATGTCCGGTTATAGTTATGCCACAGTCGAGGGTTTCCGAATATAGTCGATTCACAGTCTCGGCAAGACGAAAATAAACGAACCTGAAAGCAAAGAGGGAGGGGTCGGATACGCGGCAGAAAGCAAGAGCCGATTGGTGCCGATGTGACGACGGAAACGACCGAGCAGTTCCGTAGGAACCCGGGGAATACTGAGAGGTAATGGAGGGGCAGACTGTAGCAGTGGGCGGGGTCAGCTCGGTGCGTTCGATGGGCGTTGGCGGAAATTACCGAAGATGCCCGAAGCCGTCGGGACGGACCCGAGTACCTCACGCAAGATGGCGGAGCTGGAGGAGGTGACTCTGGACGGGAAGCCTCTTCAGGCTCTGCGAGTGACCGACCTGAAGGCCGCACTAGAGCAGCGAGGCCTAGCCAAGAGCGGGCAGAAGAGTGCCCTGGTCAAGCGGCTTAAAGGGGTGAGAAGTCAGCGTTGCCGGGGTGTCGGAGGGGAGCGGACCCGGTAGAGACAAGTCTCCGCCGCGGCGCAGGCGCAGTGTCCGGGCTCGGCGCGAGCTTTCAGGCCGCCAGCGCGAGCCTGCAGATCCGCACGCGCGGGGGTTGGAGTGGCTTGTGCCGGAATGGAGATCCCGCCGGTTCCCGCCTTAACGGCAGCGGCGCGAGCCCAAAATGGGAGGGTGCGCGCTGCGCTCCCGGAGTGTCTTAAGCTCCTTCCTTCTTCCCCCACCCCCTCCTTGTTTGTGTCTGTGGTGTCGGCGCATGCGCTGCAGAAGGAGTTAAATCCCTGTACAACCACCCGTGTGGCTGGCCTTAAGGGGGCGAGTTGGGCAGGGTCCGAGTTTCGGGGTACAGGCGGGCGGTGGGGTGGACGGGCTTGGTGTCTGTGTCTGCAAGAATATGTGTGGGGTGAGGTAAAAATGTCCGCTTGATTGGGGTGAGACATGAGATGAAGGAAAACCTTGAAAGACTTGGTGAGAGGCGGGTGTCTCGGCTTACGGGGAATTCAGGAGCAGTTTGGTAAGAATTTGGAGAGTAGTGGTGAGCGCGGCAGGCAGATTGCTCTGGTCGGGGGTTTGTGTTGGTCCGAGGAGATGCTAATGGGCTTGTCAGGAAGGAGATGGATGGTAGTGAGTAGGCTGGGTGTAGATGTTTTTAATAGAGTTCATAAGGGTATGTGGCCACCAGTACCGGTGGGGGCTAGGTGGCTTCGGGGCTTGGCACACTGTTGCTTGCACAGAAGCTGACAGTTTGGTGGAGGTGTATGGATTAGGTCAGACCATAGATGACAAGGTCTGTGGCCAGTTTCTTCTTTGAAATTTTAATACGTTTGATTTAGTCTGGGTGTCACTCCCATGCAAATTGTAAAAGTTCACTTAAGTGGCTCTGGTCCTGAATAACCAGATAATTCAGTCAAACCCAAACTAGTAGCCCCATGTTGGTTTTGTTTGTGTGAAGCTTGTTTATTTGAAGTCTTTTTTTTTTTTTTTTTTTGCCTGTATTACCAGATGTAGAAGGGGCTTCTCTTCAAAATTGCAGAGTAATAAGGATTCTAGTACTGATTCTGTCACTTTACTGATTGTTATGACATAGCCAGGTCACTGATTCTTTGTGTGCGAGTATTTTACATCTGTACATTTAGGAGCAGTAACCATGGCTACCTTTAAGGGTCTTATGAAGATGAATGAGAGCAGTATTAGTAAAGGGCTTTTGGCACTCTCCATAAAAGGAGTGCAGTTTAAGTGTGTATTTAAGTCATCTAATGAAAAGGCTGTGGGAGAGGTGGAAATCTGGGTTTCTTTTTTTTTCTCCTGGTTTCTGATTTTTTACCCTTCTCTATACCAGGCTCTAATGCTAGAAAATTTGCAGAAACACTCAACACCCCATGCTGCATTCCAGCCAAATTCACAGGTAAGAAGGTTTTTTGGAATGGGCTGTTTGTAAATAAACATAAATGGAATGACTTGGTGTTGTGTCCTCCATGCTTGTCAAAAGCTGTGTTTTCTTAAATTTTCTTGCTATACTTCATCTCATATTAGGCAGTTGAAGTCTAGTCAAGCCCAATTTTACATAAAGACCTGGAGTAAAAAACAAAATCAAAGGAACTGTTAGTGAATTTCTGACGGGTCTGAAGTTACTTATTTGCCTTTATTTAGTTGGGAAAAAGTTGTTGATGTCTTCGAATGTAGATGTGAAATAGGCTACCAATAGGGCAGTGCAGGAAAATCCTTGTTTATCTCTTTTATTGACATAGATTTCCCAAGAATTCAGTCCTTTATAAATCACCCTTATTTCTGGTATTAACTACCTAACTGTATGCAGTTTCTCTTACACATCCTGAGTAACTTTGTTACTTAGGACAAGAAATAACACTTGGAGGCCTTAGTTCCCTCACCTATAATATGAAAAATAGTTGGATTTAAAAAACAAATAACAGTAGTTGGACTTAATCCACAGTTTAATAACTGTTCTGCTATGGTAGCCTAGGGAAGACATTTTCTTCTGAAGTAAGCAAGGGTTTCTACATAAATAATATTTTTGCACTGGTGAGTGTTAAGCTCTCACGTGATCATGCTGGCCCAGAGCTCACAGTATATCCTAGGCTGGCCTCAAACTCAGGACAGACAGTCTTCTTGCCTTAGCTTCCCTAGTCTGAGATAACAGCCATGTGCCCCCACACCCACATTTCTATATAGGATTTATTTTGAAGAAATGATTTCACAGTTAAAAAATAAAACATTAATTTCTAGACCATCCAGCCTCTTAGAGTACCTTTCAGCTTTTAAAATCCCTTCATTTATGTGTCACACTAAAAGGGAAAACCCAGGTCTTTAATGCAGGGGTGTGTGGGCCCAGTACTAGATGGGGTCCCAGGATACTGTGGAGAATAAGGAGAGCCTTCCTCTTCCCTTTATCACCCTTTTAAGCTGTAAGACTCAAAATCTAGTCAGCTTTTAGAGGTTTAGTTACCAAGCATAAGAAACTGCCAAAAATAGTTCTCAGTTGTACTCTGTTTGTTTGCTTGCTTGCTTTTGAGACAGGGTCTCACTATGTAGGCCTGGCTGGCCTAGAACTCACAGAGATCTGCCTGTGTCTGCCTCCCGCCTCCTGGAATTAGAGGCATGTGCCACCATTCCTGGCAGCAGTTGCATTTTAGTCTTCAAAGCCTTACTTTATTAACAGTTTTTGCAGCTGTACACACTTGTTTTCTCATACATGCAACCCATGCTTCATCAGTGTCCATTGAGTACTCAGACTCATTTCCACCACAGGTGGGAGTAACCATTTACTATGCTCAGAAAACATGACTAGCAGCATAGGAAATATCCAATTGTTTTGCTTCTTTTGGAAGTCTAGTAGACTTACTAAGTAAGAAGGATACAGAGAGGAGGACTAGTGAAGAGAAAACTGAAGGACAGAAAGAGTGATGTAGGAGTATGTTAGAAGAAAAAGGATAAACCCAGGTTTTAAAACTTTATTGCCAAAGAAAATAGAATGGTTGGTTTTAGGTTTTTGAGGCAATAGCCAAGCTGACCTCAAACTTACAGAATCCTCCAGCCTCAAACTTGGGGCAGCTTTCCTGCCTCAGCCTCCTGGGGGCTGTGAGTGCTGGCCTGCCATGGTTTATTTGGCTTTTTAATAATAATGGGGGAAATACAGTGATAAATGTCTTAAGCACTGAATGCATGTTCCTTTTCCTAGTCTCTTCATTCTTTTATTTTTATTTATTTAATGTGTATATTTGTGGGGGTTTGTACATGCAAGTGCAGTGCTGGAGGTACAGATGGTTGTGAGCCACCTGACATGGGTGCTGGGAATTGAACTTGGCCCTCTGGAAGAGCAGTACACACTTTTAACTGCTGAGACATCTCTCCAACCCCAATTTCATGCTTTTAATACCAGAAGTTTTAAGACGTCTGACAAAATGTTTCCTGGTTTGGTGGAGTTTTGATGTCTTGGAGAAAGGTGCTTCTTCCTTTCCACTTTTAGTACTAAGAGGAGTAGTAGATTATCTTTAGATGAGTTGTAGACTATCTAAAAATTTAGAAGAAAAGGCAAATTCCAGGAGGATGTAGTTTACCTGTAAGAGCTTATTCTTTGCATACACAGGCCTGGGTGTGAATCCCTAGTGTGCCCCCCAAACACACCCCAAAACAACAAAAACTCAGGATTAGTCATGGTGGCACACTCCTGTATTCTTTAAAACAAGGAGACTAATGCAAGAGGATTGCAAGTTTGGGCCAGCCTGGATCACCTAGTGAGACCCATGTCTCTAAACCCCCCCCAAAAAAGTCCAGGCGCATGCCTTTAATCCTAGTGCTTGGGATGCAGCAGCAGGCATATCTCTGTGAGATCAAGACCAGCCTGGTCTACATAGTTTATTCTAGGCCAGCTGGAGCTACAGGGAGACCCAGCTCGGGCTTAAACAAACAAAAAACCTTAAAACCCAAAAAAGCATGATATGTACCAGCATCACTCTGTTTGGGAACTAAATATTTTAAATAAAGAGTTAATGTAGCGATCCTCCTTTTGCCAGTCACAGTGCTGTTTATTCTGATTTAATATAGGAACAGCTTAGAAAGGCCTTCTAAGAGTTTGGTTATCTTTCTTGGATCCAGATATATGGGGTAGACTTTTGTTCCATAGAATTTCTTCCCTGCATCTTCCTGGTTTGCTTTCTTAGACTTTCTTTTCCCATTTCCTCTGCACAGATTGGGGAGGAAATGAGCCAGAACAGTTTCATAAAGCAGTATCTGGAAAAGCAGCAGGAGCTACTTAGGCAGCGTCTAGAACGTGAAGCTCGAGAGGCAGCAGAACTTGAAGGTAAGCCCAGGTTGTCACTACTAACAAGTTTTCATCCCTGCCACCAAGTAGTTAGGTCTAATTAATTTCAGTAATGAGTCAGTTTCAGTACTAAGTCAGGTGAGCCTGTCACTCATTTGCTTCAATCTATCATGAAACCAAATGAGTTACTGTTTACCTTTATCAGGGAAAGGGACTCTTAGTTTGACTCTCAGTAGACGAGAACTGCCAACAACAGGAAGAGTTAGAAGTAAGTTAAACTACCATCTAGACGAGGTAGAGCTTCATTCTAGGGAGTTTTTCTTTATGTTGAGGGCTCTTTTTGGTATGTGTCTCTGTATCTATGACTTTGCCTACCCTCCTTCACTCCTCCGTATTCCCACATGCTGAGCCCTTCACTCCCTCCCTGCCCGACCCAATGTGTACTTTGCAGAAGCCTCAGCTGAGTCGGAGGACGAGATGATCCATCCAGAGGGAGTGGCTTCCCTGCTGCCTCCTGACTTTCAGAGCAGCCTGGAGAGACCAGAGCTGGAGCTCAGCAGACATTCGCCTAGTACGTATCTCCCTCCCCACCTGCGCTGTTTTGTCAACCTTGCGTAGTTGGTGGGGGGAGGTAGTTATGCCTCCTCTCGTAGTAAGCGTCCATGAAAGTCTCAGGGAACTTATGTGAAACTGATACTTGATACCTGTTTTTCAGGGAAATTATGTCCTTTTTGAAATGTGGTTTCTCTAATATGTTGTGTTAACTTCTCAGTATTTCATGAGGCAATAAGATTTTTCTTACATGTACTTCCAGCTTTTTATGCCTCTAAATTCAGCAATAGTCACAACTTTCATCTCTTCACTAATTATGATTATTACATATTATATATCCAGTCATTCCCCAAATTTAGCATCTGCTGTTTATTAATTCAACAAATATTTACTAAGTGCCTGCTGTATACCAGACATGTGCTAGAACCCAGTTGTATAAAATCTTCCTTTAGGAAACATACAGTCTAGTAAGTAGATGGACATTGAGAAAATCATTATGTAATTACAGTAATGCTAAGTGCTGTTAAAGGCAATGCAAACTGTTATGTAAACATAAGGAGCTCTAACCTGATATAGGGGATTGGTTCAAGGAAGATTAATTTTTTTCACATTATAAAAATATTGGGCACCCAGTATTGCATAGTATCTCCTGTAAAAGGCTATAAAAATAGCCTTTGTCTTTGGAAACTTAAGATTTTCAAGGCAGCATATATTTATCATGGTGGACATTGGGTGGATGTATTAAGCCAGTGTATAAATTGACATATTTTCAAATGATTTTACTGTTGGCAATTATCAATAGAATAATGGTCCCTTCATATTTAATTCTTTCAGAATATATGGGTTTCCAGCTTTCCTGATTACCACTGAATTTTTTAAAGAAGATAGATTTTGGGGGGAAGCTATAGGAGGAAGAGGAATTTCATGAAAGATTAGCAGAAACTGAAGGATCTTTGAGACTTAATTTTAAGATCCCAGTTTCGTCATCATCTGTATTTCTTGATCCTAGTCTAAGTCCCTGAGGGAAATTTTTTTGTTTTTAGGATTTAAAAAAAATACTTTGCCAGGCATGGTGGCACATGCCTTTAATCCCAGCACTCAGAAGGCAGAGGCAGGCGGATCTCTGTGAATTTAAGTCCAGCCTGGTCTACAAAGTGAGTTCCAGAACAGCTGGGGCTACAGAGAGACCCTGTCTCAAAAAGACCAAAAAAAAATATACATATATATA